GTTCCAAGTGCCTGTGTGTACACGCAGCGCCTGGTTGCCGCGCGCGCAATCCTCTGTCCCGCATGTAGGATACTGTTGGGTACAGCGCACCAATATGCACCAATCTGTGCACCAATGTTCGGTGCACAGCGCAGCAACGTGAACTCGGTCAAGCTGCTTTGAGCCGCTTTGAGATCGCGAGGCAGGATGCCAGTGCTAATATTCTCGGAATAGCGAAATATTCGCAGAATGCCAATGCGATGGATTGCTGACGGAAAAGGTCCGTGGGGACGAATATTAGTATAACCGTGGTTACTTTGTCGCTGTGGTTTACAGGCGCCCGATGTCATAAATAGCTCAGATTCAGGGTTCGTAGCGGGTCTTCCAAAGTCTTATAAGTACTTATTTTGCCAAAAATAAAATAAGGGCCCTTATTAGTACTTATTTTTGGTGAAATTGTAGAAAAGTACTTAATAGTCCTTAATTTTTGCCAAAGGACCATTTTTGAACATTGTTTTATAAACTGTTCTCGACTTAGAGTAAGAATTGTTGTATATAATACGGAATAATTAAATCTGCTGTGCAATTGTGTATATAAATATTATTAGTGTACTTTAATAGTTGGTGATCTATCAGAAATCGTGTAAAAAAGTCTTATTTTGGCCTCCAGAAAGGGTCTTATAAGTCCTTATTTCAACATGTGTCTTACTACTATGAACCCTGAGATTAGTCATCAGACATCGTAACTCTAAAACTGGCGATATTTCTGTAGAGATAGTGTCGTGCGAACGTTGTGCCATGTTAGACTTATTGATGTCGTAGCTAGTTATGACGTTTCTGACGGGAGGGGGGGGGGGTTTCTCCTTCCTGCTGTCGGACGGCGTGTATAGGCTCAGCAAAGCTCCGCTTGATCGACTAACTGCCCGTTTGAGAAAATGCACTTAGTCGCTGCCTCGCGCGCACGCACGCACACGCGCAAGCACACGCACACGCGCAAGCACACGCACGCACGCACGCAAGCACTCGCGCACGCACGCAAGCACTCGCGCGCAAGCACACACGCACGCACGCAAGCACTCACGCGCGCAAGCTGACACACAGGAAAACCCGCACGTACGTGCACACACACACACGCACGCACGCACGCGCACACACACGCATGCACGCACGCACGCACACATAGCTGTTATATCGACACTGCGACTAGCCGGCCTGCTAAGCTTCGCCTGCTCGCTGCATACACATCTCCGTGCGCATACACATCTCTTCCCCCTCCCCTCTTTCTCTATCTCTCGTACATTTAGTAACTAAGCGAGGTTGACGTGCTAGATTCCCATCTATTTTTGAGGAGGCACGTTGAGCGGCCGCGCGTGTCATCATACATGTAATGCGCGCGTGTGCGTGCGTGCGTGCGTGCGTGCGTGCGTGCGTGCGTGCGTGCGTACCTATCAGTCGCCATATGTAGCACGCACGCTGCTACTGACCGTAATCTCGCGTAGCTTTCTCGCGTCCAGGCACCTTGGCGGGTTCTGCTTCAGCTTCCTGCCCTCTGGCTTCCCGCGCTAACAACCCGCCATCATCAGCGACGGGATTACTTACCACACAGGGACGGTAACTACGCGCACAGACGATATCTAAACGTAATTACCGGTGGAGAGAGTGGGTGGGGGCATATTAGCCGCGAGGTGAATTGTTGTCAGGTATAGACCCGCAGAAACCCGTGACGTATTACTGTCTGAGCCACCTCGAGAAGAATCGGCGCTGCGAATCTGTTGAACCATTCCCGAAAAAAAAACCATCGTTGTCGCAAGTGTTTTGGCTTTCGGTCGGACGAGTCTTTGGGTAGCAGATCGAATCGGGAGGGTGGGCCGCTGAAGGGCCGACGCAGGCTCGAATGCTCATTGTCGAATGCATATATATCAGAGGTCACTTGTAGTTCTTCGACTACCCCCCTGCCTCCACACGCACGCACGCGCACAACACGCGCACGCACGCACGCACGCACGCACGCACGCACACACACACACACACACACGCACTCCCTAGTCGGTACCGATTTATCATTAATTCCGTCTGCATGCGAGACGGTGTGTGAAGCCTGCCAACGGGGATATTGCGTGCGTGTCTTCGGGCAACGTGAAAAGAAATCCTATTGAACAAACACGTTGCGCCGAGTAGATTAGTTGGGTATACAGTATATACACGCCGATATGCCCCGTCCTCGCTGCTACCGCTGCCGATTACTGTTATTGCGTCATGGCAATGCGTCCAAAAGAATTATATAGTTTATACGCGCCCTGAGAATAGAAACAACGCAGACGGCTGGCGTTGGTTGCTTTGCGCATCGCTACCGCAGTGCCATGATGCGATAATGCAATAGCTATGCAATAGACGTGGTGGTACGTGGTGGGTGGGGGTGGGGGGGGGTTAGTAGGTGTTTACTTTGCAGAAATATAATGCTAGGCGAACAATAATATACTTTGTGTTTATTTATTATGTTCTCATATAATTTGATATCTCTGTGGAAGTTTGCCGTATTTGTGTTCAATAACTATACTGTCCATACATGAGTTGTGGTTTTAATTTGAACGTGTCGGCGGTGGCGTATATAAAGCTGTGTAGAGTAAACACTGAAGCTTGATTAGAACTGTATTCACACACAATATCTCTCGCCCCGCATGTTCGCAGATATGAGATAGCTTATATACACTGGCTTCCTATAATAGGAAGTTATTGATTTGGTTGTTATTAGTTCTTAATTAGGGTGTGCGTATGTGAATTCATGCAATGTTTGGCACTGCTTGGATGCCAACGTGATAATAATTATAATTTGTTACAAGCTTGTGCTCTTTTACTGGCACGGTATGTAAGAAAGAAATGAAGGACAGAGAGAGAGAGAGAGAGAGAGAGAGAGAGAGAGAGAGAGAGAGAGAGAGAGATGGAGCGAGAGAGATGGAGCGAGAGAGAGAGAGAGAGAGAGAGAGGGCTAGGGTGAATGAAATGGAACTCTCATCTCTCTCTCTCCCCATCTCTCTCTTTCTCTCCCCATCTCTCTCCCTCCCAAGTTAGTATCTAGTAGTGATGTCCTGAGGATCGATTATAATCGAAAGCCAGTCGTCTGCAGCAACCGGCTAAGTGCTTGATTACGAAAATAAATAATCAATTATCAAAAAAATTCAAAAACATTGATGAAATGACTCCTTATTTTATTTGTGTGTGTTTTTTTTAGTTACTTTACAGCTTGGAGGCAGTAAATCTAACCTACACCAAACATAATCAAGTATAATGCTGTTACATTTTAGAATATTGTATTATGAAAAATACTGTATTATATGTCATATTTCAATATCTGGTAGCTGCGATCAATAATATTCAACCGATTGTTAATCGGTTGGGTGCAACTGATGATCGATGATGAAATTCCAACCGATTCCCAATGCCATCACTAGTATTTATCAGCTGGTTGGCGATCAATATGACACACGTTACAGAGTTATATTATTTATGTAAATTTGGGTTATCAAAAGTTTTTTTGAAGCAATTGCCTTCTTTGGTAGAAGAAAAGTTGTGACTTCTGTAGCAGTTTGTTCCTGGTTCATACTCATAGTTAGCTTGTTACACAGTAGCATTTCAAAATTAATACATGTATAGCAATAATAACACATTTAATCATGAGAGAATAAGTCATTGCCAGTACTTTATAACATAAAACCAGGAGTGAATAATAATAGATTAATCTATTATAATAATATATTATTATTCAATCCTGATAATACTTCCCATAAACATAAAACATCCTCAAGGCTTATTAATTAGGTCGTAGTGCTCATTTCTTTGGAACTATATTCTGTAAATGCATAGACCAGATAACACAAAGGTTGACACATCATCTATGCACTGCATGTTTTGTAAAGTAGGGGAATCATGCTCCCTTGTTTCTATGTTATTATAATATATATTGAAAATTGTCTCTTTATAGTGGAACTGCATGTTTTCCAGCTAGAGTTATGTTAACACATGTATGCATACACGTGCGCAAAACTAGAGATGTAATGTAATTCAATCAAATAGTTAATGATTGCATTTTCAATGCAGTATCACATGGAAATCTTGTGAAATGTTAAATTGTGTCTCTGCTCATACTCCCTCTAGTACATATGGCTTACACATCTGCATTACTGTATCACACAAACCTCCACACAGAAAATCACTTGGTTGTGAATGCTGCTGAGTCACCGCAGCATCCGCCAAGATGTCCGTGATTGTTCCATTGCATCGAAAATAGCAACACATCTCGAAATGGCTTCACACAGTGGGTGGATAGAGGGTGATATGTTGAAGGTGAACGGCAAGGTGAAGGTTGAAGGTTTGTGAATAAATTGCGAATAGCAGATTTCCGTTATTCGGTATAGCAAATAGCGGTATTCCGGGACACAAGACCGTCGTCTTGCAAACGTGATTGTGCAGTACAAAATGCGTGACTGATAAGATGTCAGGATGGTCAGATGGTCAGCAGATCAAAGGGCAGACTTGTTATCTGTTACAGGACAAGGTGCAATAGACACCCAAGTGAGAACTTTTTCGCGTCGGCACTGGCCTACCGGTTTCATAACTGTAGAAACAGTTAGATGTAACGGTGTACATATATTCGTGATATATAGGATCATAGTGATACATCCTAAAAAGAAAGATGGAAGCCATGAGTGAAAGGTCAGGGGTAGTAAGTAGCTTATATCGCTGTGTGTTTCTTCTGAGCAATGGACTCGACATCACAAGAACAGTGCACGGTTGCTTTATTAGCTCAGCTAACGAAGTCAGAAAGTCAGATGCAGCGCTTGTAGAATCGCATGAATGTCCATCCATCCGTTCGTGCGTCCAACAGTTGCGGCACAAATCTTAACCGCGCGATGTACGATCTTGATATTCGGGACGTCGGGGGGAACTCAGTGTCCACTAATTGACAGTTTACTTTTATGATCAGTGAGTGCGCACGCTAATTTGTTCCCGTATTTGTTTCCTAGCCTGCCTGAGAACCAGTGGAGAGGAGAGACGAACAATTACTTCATTTAGGTGGCAGAGAAATGGGCGTCGCAATCCCCTCTACTCCGTGCCAGCACTGAATAACAGGTACGTGTGCACGCGTGCGTGCCAGCTAGCCAGATGTCCACGCTTACGCTAGCCATATAACCTATGCGATATTTGCATTATGTCAGGTGAGTCTGATGGTCGCTATATAGTGACTTTAATTAGTATCGGTGGCAGCCCGCCCCCCCCCCTCCCCTTATGGCTGCGCTATTGGGTGTTAATGCAAGCGCTGCATTCGTGCGTGATCTATAATGGGGCACGCGATTAATGCCGCACCAGATGTAACTGTACACGCTACCGTTGAACTACACGCAGCATCCACTGCTCTCCGTGTGTGCTGTATGCTAGACTGCTGCGGCTCAGGCGTACGTAGTACAGTGGCGGTCATGCGCTGGAATAGCTCTAGACTTTCATACCAGCTGCTGCAGCCTCGCAATTTTAACGGCTCGCATATCGAACTGAATTAAAGATCAATGAAATTAGAATCATGCAGTGAAAGTGGTAACGAGGTTTGCCTTTGTGCTTGCGTTTCAATTTGCACAGGGAATTACTAGGCTGGCCTCGCCTAGAGGGGAATCTAACCTGGGAATGGCGATGTGTTTGACGAGGTTTGCGGCTGACAGCTAGTCCAGGCTATTTACACTTCATTTGACCGGTCTGGTGGAGGTTTAGTAACGTCGTGTTAAACCTATGCATATGTAGGGCTTCAGCAATCATACTCATGGCCAGGAAAAAGACATTCGTGGCCAGTACTAAAACGGTCTAAGGGCGCGTTTCACTAACGTTCGTTCGCTATTTTTCCTTCGCTATTTTCAAAGTTGATCGATAAATAGCGAAGAACACGTCCGCGCGTGTTTCACAAAGCTCCGTTCGCTAAAGTTATTCGTTATTTAGCGAACAACTTTAACGACACCTTTGCAGGGTCGCGGTAAATTTAGCGAAGGACTTGCGGTGTATTTTAAACCCTATAAAAACATAGTGTAGCGCAGTGTGCGCTGTATATTGTAGCAGCGATGTCGCGGAGGTTAATTGTTTCAGATAAATGCACCTAACTTTATTACAAACGATAGGCACACTATTCGCGCGAATACAAGCTCGTGCCTGTGCTGTACACACATATACAATCAGACTGACACAGGCAGACTTGCCAATCTTTCTCAATTCATCTGCTAAAACGGTTTCACATAGCAGCAATGGTGTCTTCAGGGTCGGTGGTGACAAAGGTGATGTCATTCAAATATGGCACATTGATAAGCAACACAAGCAGCTGCTCGTGTTCCCAGTCGATATTCCTTGTGTGTCAAACTCAGTTGTGTAGCTACATGTGTAAGTGTCTGTCCAATGGCTTTGTGAATTTTAAATTTTATTCACAGTATTTACAAAAAGGTTTTTTATTTAAAAATATAAAGAGTACTCGTTTTATGTAGACTGGTACCGGCGTCAGGCTTGCTCTGTTTGTGCTAGAGAACTGCTTGTGCTGGTACAAACACTGGGGCCGCGAACCAGTCTACGTTTCCTGCAGAACGCTACGATCGGCTAATAGTGATATCGATATCGATCGGCGATATATATATATATATATATCGATCGATCTTGATATCGATTATCATATAGTAATAATATATCGGTATCGGTGCTATCATAGATATAGAAGAAGAGATCTTCTATATCTATGATGCTATAAATACTGATCGGCAATGTACAGCCCAAAATCACCTCAAATCGACATGAGTTTTATTACGATGTTAATGGGCGATAACGCACCTACCTAAAACACTTAGCACTTATTTCGAGTAACTCTTATCGCCGACATCACAACTGCAAGCAGCGTATAGTATGTGAGCACGACTGCACAACTGCAAGCAGTGAGCACAACTGCACGCAGCGGAGTGTATATAGTGACGAGCATGGCAAACTTTTTATTGTATCAAGCTTATAATCGAGATAATGAAAGACGACATTTACGAAGCGAAAGAGTTTTCAGAGACAGAACACAACCGTTTGTTGCCTACAATGATACAGAAATTATCGCCAGATATAGATTGCTCAGGCATGTCATTGCTAATCTAGTAGATCAACTGGACGATGAGCTCTCGAGCCATTTCTGCGTCTTTGCAAGTATTTGCGGCAAGTTATTCGGTTCTCCATGTTGATTAGGCCACAGATGTATACCCAATACAATATATGTTGGGTATACATCTATGATTAGGCATATGACAGAGCATAACCTATCAACAACTACGCCACGTGTTTGTAGTTGCCGCCAGCTGACGCGAAGTTGTTCGCTAAATAGCGAGTATTCGCTCAATCGTAAAAGTAGTATTCGTAAATCACTAAATCGCTAATCGCTAAATAGCGAGAGCATAGCGAAGCGTTAGTGAAACGCGTTGTTCGGTAAAGTTGATCGGTAAAGTTCAGGAGTAGTGTGTGAAATGCAGACGTTTCCCATGAGACGGACCAGTGGCCGGACCTCATGAGAAGTGGCTTCTAATGTTCAGTGCAGACGTAAACGTTTACACGTTTAACGATTGATCGCTTAAAAATTTTGTGTTAACATGTTACTGATTATTCCAGTAGAAAAGTTACCACAAGTTTGTGCTGTTATGGTATATAAAATTGCAAATAATGCAGCCACATTCTTTCGTGTCGCGATAATTCCTTTGGAATTAGCAACCACCACGCATCACACCAGCATCTCTTTAAATTACGCTGTAGTTCTAGACTGGTGCAGCGCCTTTATTACTTTTAATGCAAGTTACCATTAACAAAGTTTAGGGACAGGGTTACGCGAGAAACAAGTGACATCATCGTGTAATTAACCGCGTCAGCAAGAAACCAACAAACAAATTCCAATCGTTGCATATTTTGGTGAAAGTAACGATATACTAGTGCTCTAAGACATGTCAGCCTAACTTGATGTTGCTGCTGCAGCAAGTATTGCAATGGTCTCAAAAATACGAGAACGGTCGGGGAGACTGTTCGAAGTCATTACTTCAAGAGGGAAAGGGGGCGTAAAATGACGTAGGTGGCGAGCTTATAAATGCCCAGAGGGTGTGCTGGTTTCTTCGCGATTTAATTAATGAGTTTACATCAGTGCAGTGCTGTGTTATTGCATGTGAAAGGCCATAATTTTGGCGTTGATTTTCGTAATTTCAAATGTTAATTTTAACCAATTCGTGCACCTGTGTCTTTTCTTTCACCAAGACAAGAGTTTGAGCCGGGAACAGCGGAGGTTCAGTTCTCTCCTGAATTCGTGTATTTATTTTAATCTAGCAGCAGCTTCTTGATATGAACGAACAGCTTCTTGCATTACGTCATACCGGCTTCGCTATAGCAATTAGAGGCTGGAATTGTATCTACGCGTGGTTTGTGGCTTACTGCAGACAAGAGACTGTGTATGCGATACTAGGATAGCTGTACGATCATCTGATGTCAAGTCGAGTTGCATTCTAGACTGATTTCACGTCGGCTTCGTGAACAACTTGTGAAAGCAGTGCACTCAAGTGGCACGAGTCGAAAGACGACGTCGTGTCAGTCTATCGTGAATCGGTGAATACAATTATACTGGAATCGGAGGTTTTCATAGCGCTGTCGATTTTGTCTAGACACATGTTACACGAGTCGCTGCGACGATTTTCAAGACTGCACTCCAAAAGCCCTGTGGCTGAGCCCACGAGTTTGATTCTTAACAGCCTGCGAAACCATTGCAATGTATCACCTGAAATTGCGTTTTTGCCTTCCATGGACATTGCTGTTATTGCACAAATGAGTACATGATTTACAGTTGATGACTTGATGAGATGTCAACCTAATAACTGTCAACGTGTCTGTAACTATCGTAAATCAGTGCAAACATTCTGGTTCTTCAGTGAATGGCGTGTAAGAGTGACAGTATATAGTAGTAGCACTACGGGGGAAAGGTAATATATCTCCAGTGTCGAATAGCAGGAAATTTACGGGCAATTACAAGAACATGTATTTATTATTGGAATTCCTGCTCTTATACAGTAAGCAAGCGAGTGTAGATCCAGAGATATGTAATCACTAGATGTGTGTGCGTGTCAAGGTTGTGCATATATCTTGCCGTTTCAGCATAATATGTCGTGTGAGATACACTCGGGCGCAGTGGCAGCTTGTCATGAGTGATTAGCCTCAACCCCTTCACTAATTGCAAACGTCGTATTCGCTCGTCACTGTCAGTGCGAGTCATGCGAGCGGCTAGGATTGAATAACTGTCATCGCATTTCTACGAAAAATGCACCATGTTAGGTTTTAAATATAAAATTAGACGCCGTTTGCTCGTTTACATAATTGGTAAGATTAGCATGACCAGAAATAGGCTGTCCTTTCTTCACTGGCGGCATAGTGGTTAACGCAACGAACTACTGTCGTGCTCCATTACTTTTATATGGTTAGTTTTCCTACTATACTAAGGTGTACGTTGCCTATAGGGCACACAGCACTTGCTGCGCGATTTCGAATGCTTACACTAAAACATATCTATATCAATGCCTTTAGGGTCAAGTAAGGTGTTTTCGAAGGCTCCTTATGAAAACACTCTATCCATACAGGCGCAAGTAGAAAATAATTACGTTCACGTACATACGCTTGTAAAACTTGTACAACGACTCGTAACCGAATAAAATTGAATTATTTCCATGAAAATCGAAACGACGCCGCGCGAAATTCATCCTAACCTTTCGCGCGACATTAAAAAAATTTCTAAGTCAGAGAAGGGATGTATCAGGGATATGTGAGCAATGAAAAATCTACCAAGTCAGAGAAGGGATGTATCAGGGATACATGATCAGTGATAAAAATGTTTAAGTCGTAGAAGGGATGTATCAGGGATACATGATTAGCATTAAAAACATTTCTAAGTCAGAGAAGGGATGTATCAGGGATTTTTCTTCAGAACATTAAGAGAAGGGATGAATCAGGGATAAATGCTCAATAATCCCTTCCAATTATGCTTTTGGCAGGGATACCTGATACATCCCTGATACATCCCTTCCAGAAGAAGGTATCCCTGACAAAATAGC